ATATATAACGTCATCAATTGCAAATTATTTAAACCTGCCCACTATAGAAAATGTAGATTTGTCTATTTTTACATTTGGTACGAAATCTCCACAATATATAAAAAGTCGTGTAGTTAATTTTATAATTAAGACGCGAATCGGTGTAAAGCGATCTATATACGCGAATGTAGTACCTCATAATACTAATTCCGTACAAGCGCCAGTATTTAATAATTCAGCGAAATTATTACAAAACAGTAGATTAAACAAACTCATTTTAGCAGATGATGGTTCTTATGGAGATAAAATAGACATTTTAATAGGTAATGATTATTATCATACATTTATATCGAATGAAAAGTTATGTATTTCTTATAATCTTTTCTTAGTAAGTTCAGATTTTGGGTGGGTATGGTCAGGTAGAGTAAACGAAACAAATACGGTAGATCAATTATCAGTTTTAACCTATTTTCAATCAGCAGGAATTTATGATAGTAAATTACATAAACCGGATCTTCCATTAAAGACAGACGATGTTAAAAGGTTATGGGATCTAGAATCGATAGGAATAGTAGATTCTCCAAAATGTTCTCGTGATGAGGAAGCGATTAAACAATTTAATAAAACTATTCAGTACAAAGACAATAGATATTACGTTAAATGGCCTTGGGCCGAATATCCTCCTAATTTACCTAATAATTTAGGCTTAGCTTATGGTCGTCTAAATAATTTATTGAAACGTTTAGATAATTTAACTATAAAGTCATATGATAAAGTCATTCAAGAACAATTACAGAATGGTGTAATAGAGATAGTCAAAAACGCTTCCTTTTCACTGAGTCATCCTGTGCACTATCTACCACATCATTGTGTTTATAATCGAGATAAACCCAATAAGCTTCGTATTGTATATGATGCGTCAGCCAAAACAGTAGGAAATCAAAGTTTAAACGAATGCTTATATAAAGGCCCCTTAATGCTAGAAGATCTTACTGCGCTATTGATTAAATTTAGAGAACATGCGATTGGCATTATAGCAGACGTTGAAAAGGCATTTTTACAATTAGGTCTTCAAGAACCAGATAAAGACGTGACGCGCTTTCTTTGGCTGAAAAATATCAATGATTCAGTTAACAAAGAAAATATATTAACTTTAAGATTCTGTCGAGTACCTTTTGGAGTTATATCTAGTCCATTTCTCCTCAATGCTACAATAAAATACCATTTAATGAAATCTAATAACTCAATTTTAAACCAGATAGCTGACGATATTTATGTAGATAATATTATAACTGGTGCTAAAACGGTTTTAGAGGCACAAAACTTATACAACACGTCCAAATTAGCCTTTAATGATTTGTCTATGAACTTAAGGGAGTGGAATTCAAATTCAAAAGATTTTCTTTCACGTATACCTGATAAATTTTGTACAGATATTGAGGAAGTTAAAGTTTTAGGTTTAATATGGAATACGAGGGATGATAAATTATTATTGAAATATGATATTAGTCAAACAGATTTAGATTCAGTTTACACAAAACGAAGTATTTTAAAAGTAATTGCTTCGGTTTATGATCCTTGTGGTTATGCTGTTCCAATAGTGCTTCCAGCTAAATTATTTTTCCAGAAGTTATGGAAACAAAAGATTTTATGGGATACTAAGATTAATAGTAATTTACTTAATGAGTGGAAGCAAATAATATCGAAGTTTAGTTATCTTAAAAATATCAGCATTGACAGATATTTCTTAAAAAGTATAGGTAACACCAGGGCTAGTGAAAAAATGAGACATGAATTACATTGCTTTACTGATGCTTCTACGGAAGCATACGCTGCATATATATATTTACGTAGTTCTTGGGGTACTAGTAATATTGTCACTTTCATTATTGGCAAGTGTAGATTAGTACCTATTAAGGAGCAAGTTAATTTACAGATTCCAAAACTAGAATTGCTTGGAGCACTTATTGGAAATAGACTATTACAGTACGTAAATAAAAATTTAAGGTTAAGTATAAAGGCGCAGGTTTTGTGGACCGATAGTCAAATAGTTTTAGGTTGGTACCATTCTAGTAAGCTTCTTTTGCCTTTTGTGTCGCGGAGGATTAATGAAATCAAGCAAAATAAAACTTTAATTCTTAGGTATATACCTGGTCAATACAATCCAGCAGACATAGGTACGAGATCTGACCGGATAGATCATTATGATAGGTGGCTCAAAGGTCCAGACTTTTTACTAGATAACTCTGAAAATTGGTTTTCTATGCCTAATAATTGTGTATATCAAGTAGAAACGCAAATCTCTTCTGTCGGGGAGGGTCTCTCGAATGAGAATACAAATAATAAAAGCACTTTAGTTGAGAATGAAGATAATATAAATAATTTAGATATGACAAGTACAACCGAATTAGATAAAGAACCAATTAGCGATAGTGACAGTGATTTAGAAATTATTTTGAAAGTACAAGCTCAATATTTTCCAGAAGAAACGAAAGGTATTGTATCTAATTTTGCAAGATCACTTGGCCTATATAAAGATGTCAATGGGATATTGAGATGTAAAGGTAGATTTAAACATACTGATTGGACTCATTGTCATAAAGAACCTATATTACTTCCAAAAAATTCAGAATTTACACATAAAATAATAGCTGATTTACACGAGAAAAACTATCATGTTGGAGTATCTCATACATTGGCTTTACTTAGAAAAACATTCTGGGTTCCTCATGGTAGATCAACCGTACAAAAGATTCTTAGAAAATGCCGAAATTGCTTAAAATACGGTGGTCCATTTAAATTACCAGCGATGCCCGATTTGCCATCAGAAAGAGTTAAGTTTAATTTACCTTTTACATTTACGGGAATGGATTATTTTGGGCCGCTTTATGTAATAAATGACAGTAAGGAGAAATGTTGGGTGTGTTTATTTACATGTTTGACGATCAGAGCAATACATATGGAAATTGTTAGAGATTTATCAGCAGAAGAATGTCTATTAGCAATCAGAAGATTTGTTGCAGTACGAGGTTTACCCAAACTTATCATTTCCGATAACGCCACACAGTTCAAACTTACGGCAGAGGTATTGTCGTCTGATTATTGTATCTTGAATAAGATACGTTGGAAATTTATACCTGAATTAGCTCCTTGGTTTGGGGGCTTTTATGAACGTTTAATAGGCTTAGTAAAGCATTGTCTTAAAAGAACGGTGGACAAACATTCGCTTAACTTTAATCAGTTGTGTACAGTTATAAAAGAAATTGAAGCGATCATTAATACTAGGCCCTTGACACCAGTGGGAGCTGAACTAGAGCATGTCTTAACGCCATCAGATTTTTTACGAATCGGAGGAACAACTACGACCGAGATATCGGATCGTGACCTTCTAGAGCCATCTTCAGTTACTAAATATAACCTAATTGATAGTTGGAAACGTGGTCAGATTATTATTCAGGAGTTTGTGAAAATGTTTAGTAATCAATATTTATGTAGTCTTCGTGAACGAAGAAACAGACATAGACAAGCAAGAGTTGTAGTTGACAGGGTACCGAGGGTCGGTGAAATAGTTCAGATAAAAGCAGAAGGTAGTAGAGTGAACTGGAAAGTTGGCAAGATAAGAGCTTATTAAGGGTTCGGATGGACATATCAGAGTTGCAAAAATTAATACAATGACAGGAGAAACGTTGACTCGATCAATAAGTCATCTATATTCTCTTGAAGTTAAAGATAACATGAATACAGTATCAGTTCATGAAAGGGAATAAATACAGGCAAATCAGTTAGAACAACCTGGAATAAGTAAAATAGCAACCAGTGAAATTAAAAATTCAGCGCCCAGTAATTCCAAACGACCAAGCAGAGTGTTAGCTACGAAAGCCAGGGACAGAGTTAAAAAATGGACTTCTCAACTTATGTTAATTTTATTTGATGAATTATAATTTATTCAGATATTTTAAATCAGATGATTGTTGTTTCTGTTAAAATTTGTAATCAGTTTATGAAAATTAAAGACTAGTTGTAATCAGTTAAATCAGAGCAATTTTATTTTCCTTTTGGCGGGGAGTGTCGCGAATACCGTAGGGTAATCGCGAAATAAATGTTTAATCATTCAAATTATTATTTGTCATTAACGTGACGGTAGTACGAAAAGAGTTCGATAGGATAGATTGAGATTTGACTCAGACGCGGTCGAGACGCGAGCGAGGCAGATCAGGCGTAACACCGTGTGTTCTCAAGTAAGTGGATTTATTTTACCAGTTTGTGAATATTCAATGTTATTGCGTGTGAGCAGATTGCTTGATCAGAAATCAGATTCAGAGTATTCGATTCAGTATAGACATGTGTTAACATGTTATCAGATAAATCAGACCAGTGATGTGAGATCAGTTAAATCAGTATATTAAATCAGAACAGTTATCAGTTTAGCGAGGCTCGGGGTGGCTATAGGGGAGGTTGGAGGCCACTAGCGAGGGACCAGACCCTCGTACATTAAATCAGTATATGTTCATTACCAGCAATCAGTAAATCATATGTTTAACAGTTACATACATATAATTATTATGATATGTGTTGTATCTACGTCTCATGTTATATTCGTCTAATACCAATGAACAGGGTATTTGGCGACACAAACCTCAGCAAAGCTCAAATAGGCAGCATTGTGGGAGATATATCATGGACTGGTCTCTTTACGAGGTTTTTTTTTAATTTTATGAATATATATAAAAATATAATATAAAATATATTGCATATACATACGATATAATCCCTTTATATCTAATTTTCACCAACGTAAGTAACAACTTTTATTACTTTTTAGTTTACTCTCGTTTTCGTATCAACATTTTCAATCTATTTTAATTATACTATGTACATACAGCGTATACGACCATATTTGAATATAAGTTATATATTTTGAATTTCACTAATATTATAAACACGAAAATTTGCTATCCTTTCACGCCAAAACTACTTAACGTATTTCGATGAAACTTTACAATAATATAACTTATACATCAGATTACAACATCAGTATAACCTGTACAAATATTATAAATGTGAAAGTTTGTGAGTATGTATGGATGTTAGTTACTCTTTCACGAGAGAAGGGCAGGACGGATCTTGATGAAATTTAGCACGGAGATAGATTATAGTCTGGAATAATACATAGACTACTTTTTATCCCGGAATAGTATATGGTTCCCGAGGTATATATTTGTTTTTGTTTTTCTAGAGGCGAACCCGAGCTAAGCCAGGGTGAGCCGCTAGTAGGTTATAATTTATAAAAGTAATACATAATTAAAAACGCAGGCCAAGCCGTGGTAAAACACTAGCATAAAATTAAAAATTATGATATAATAAAATGTGGTATACTTACAATATAACTGAATTTGAACGTTTACACGTAACGGTGGCACTAGGGCGGTGTTATCCGCTGTACACGTGTAGACTGCTTCGAAATAATCTCTTGAAAGCTTGGGTATCCTCAACTCAAGGAGACTCAGTCGAGTTTCATCTTCAACTGGCTCCAATTTCGAGATGACTTTATCATCTCGCCACCACCGTAACCGGGGCATCGGTTTGCCTGTAAAAATGCATACTAATATTATAAATGTGAAATTGTGTTTGATTGTTTGTTTGTTTGTTTGTCCTTCTTTCACTTCGAAACGGAGTGACGGAGTGGCGTGATTTTTTGTGAGGAGATAGTTGGAGAGATGGAGAGTGACATAGCCTACTTTTTATCGTTATATAACATCCAAAAAATATTTATGATCAGAATTACTTGAAATTTATTAATATTAATGTATTAATGTTCTTCAAAAAGCAAAAGAGGACGCCAGAAAAGGAGATGGGAGGATGAAATCTGCCAAACTCTAGGGCCACTGTGGACACGAGTGGCGCTAGATACAGCCCAATGGAGACAGATGGAGGAGGCCTTTGCCAAAAGGCACACAGAAATCAGAGATATGTATTTTGTAAATCCTAAAACAACTTTATCTGAATAACTTTGTAACTCTAACTCCTGTAATAAAGGCTATTTTATTTTATTTTATATGTTCTTCATAAAATTAAAAAACACGCATTTTAGCATTTTTTGAAATTCATCCTATAAGAGGGTAAAAGGGGGGATTAAATTTTGTATAAAACGACCTATTTAGAGATTTTTTGTAGTTTAAGCGCAAGCGAAGCCGCAGGTTCTGCTAGTATATGATAAATTTAATAATTGCGTATCAAATTGATAACTTCAAATAATGATAATTTTTTTAGCTCAACTTGTTTGTAGCTCAGTAAAGTTTCAATTCTCAGTTTTAACCTAGTTCTCCTACTATTGATTGGAAACAATTGAATGGTTACGAGTAAAGCTATTCATGTCTTGTAAAAAAACTTTTATAATATATTACGTTATTATCACAAATATATCACGATATTATAAATATAATAAATAAATAATAAATATGTTGGAACATTAACACACAGCACCATCTAGTTCCATGGTAAGCTACAAGGCCTGTGTTATGGATACCAGATAGTTGATACACTACACATATATAACTTTAAATATTGTATACTTATTATAAATATAAACATCCATGACTGGACAAAAAGTCGTGCTCATCAAACAAAATTAACGCCCCCAGCGGGACTCGACCTCGCGACCGTTGGCACAGCAAGCATGTTCATTACAAACTGAGTCAAACGTGTCGTCAAACAATATGAAGAATTTGAAAAACAAATAATAATAAACGTCATTAGGAATTATATCTCAGTATAGCAATTAACGGAGAGTGGTGGCAGCACTCGAGTTCGCTACGTTTTTGGCACGGACCCGGACGTGTCAAGCTTAGCTTGTTATGTGGCTGCATTGTTTTGTTAGATCGTAGAAGATATAGTTTCATCACGTCCTTTCATCTGTCTTCGTACTAGTTTAAAGCAATTTCTATATACTATAGTGCTCACACTCTGTTTTTAGGAGATTTTTAGTGCATTCTTACCAAATTTATATTTTTTTATATAATACAATATTATTAAATCATAGATACAACTAATACTTTTAAATTTTAAAATACATTGAATTTGTAAATAGATTAGATAAAAATAGCAACTCAAATAAAAGAATTTAAAATTACTCTATAACAGTACTAATAACAATCAATTAATTATCAAAATTGTAAGTTATTTCGTTGCCGTTTCCTTTTTTCCTTAAAATCATATATAATTTTGTAGGTAGGCACCGTTTGTTATAACCCTTACAGCAATCATGGTCTATCCTCATACATATCCTCATACAGCATCCATGGTCCTATAACCATGACTGATGTAAGGCATTCGAAACATAAGGAACCAAAAATGAAAATAATCCACGAAAAAACCCGAAAAGATAGTTTTACTTAGACTTGACTAGAACGTCGTATCTATCTATAGGTAAGCCACGAAAATACTTTACTTCTTCTTCTTCTCCCTGCCCATTTCCCAAATCACTTAGGGTCGGCGCAGTACATCTTCAGTGTACTGCTGATAGGATTTGGCAAAAGTTTTACGACCGGCCGCCTGCATGACGTCAACCCTCCTTGGGAATGCTATTGTCTTTCTTTGTCTGAATGGTGTTAAATATTATGCACTTTCGATTTTGTTGTGTTTTAAAACATTTTTTATACTATTAATTCAATTATTAATGTTATTTTTGGATATATTTTAAAATAAATTTCGATTACACAATAAATTTTGTATTGACATTGTCAAATTTTTTCTTCTTACGAAAATACTTTACTATAGGATAGTATTTGTATTTATTTTAAGATAATATAAATGTGGGACAAAAATTATTACATTAGGATGAAATGCCTACTATTTATAGATTTTTTTAAAGCTTCAGGTAAATTTCGAAGAAATCTATTGTTAACTGTAACGCCAGCGTGTCCGCGGTCGTGGAGGGATTATTAGCTTTAAATATAAATAATGTGTGAGATTCTTTGCACTGTAATTTTTGTTGTGATTAATATAGATGGACAAAAATACTATAATAACATATTATGATAATTAATCCGTTTTAATTTAGTAAAATATATATAAAAAAATATTTTAAAATATTTTAAAAACGCCATATATTACGTACATAGTTCCGACTAATTTGTTCCACAAAATCCTTTTATGCAGTACAATGCAATAGTTATTATTAAATATTTGCATGCGTTAACATGCAAGTGTACAAAAAGTGTCCTCTTTTGTTGTATATTAAGTCACATTCTGTGGTATTTTTAAATTAATCACACCGTTTAACGGGTCACGGTAGAGTAACAAAAGGTCGAAATCGCTGCTATTCTGATGCCATTGTATTCTGACGTGAATAAAAGTTAAATTTTCTAGACAATTATTACGAATACACCGAAGGAAATAGTTAAAGCGGTTGTTATTTCGGGCGATGGAATTGGAAAAAAATCTTTATTGCTTCGATAGTAAATAACTTAAGTGACGATTGAGTCCATATATTTATGACTAGCATTGCCCCCGGCTCCGCTCGCGTTCAGATGACCAAAAATCAAATTCTTAGGTTTTACATATTAGTATACTCTTACATTGCAGTTTTTGTATTTTTTCTCAGAAATGAGTTATTTTGCCGCTTTAAAAAGTATCCTATATGTTGACTCGGATAACCAGCTATCATCGAACCAAATTTCATCAAAATCTGTCCAGTGGTTTTCTTGTGATGCGGTAACAGACAGACAGACAGACAAAAATTCTCAAAACTACAGATTCGGACTCTGGATCGATAATAATGTCTATTTCAATTAGATTTTCCAAAAAATATTTAATGTACAGATTCGACTTAGTTACAATTTTATTATATGGTATAGATTATAGAAATGATTGTCAAAATCGTTAGAGACATTTTTATGGTGTTATTGGTGAAACATACATTTCTTTTTTATTTTAGTTAAGCGTGTGTTGACGCATGCGCATTATGATTTACATTTACTTAATATATTTATAATTCTACTATTAATATAAGACTTTCTTAGATTTATTATTTCGCGGTTCTATTTTGAGTTTTTGTTCTGCTTTTCATAATTTCATGTTAGATAATAACGCTGAAAAATAAAAAAATCTCTTAAATAAAACTAAATCTGGTTATTATTTTATCTATTAACTTAGTAAATGAGAACAAAATATGACTAAAAATATATATTGCTATTAATATATCACTCATATTTGAAATCAAATGTAAATGAAATAATTTTAAATGAAAGTTTTATAAGTTGATGACGTGATTTTACATGTAAATGTTGAAATTGCAAATATTAAAATATAATAACAAGTCGTTGTCACGGCTACGGGAGATTAGTTACTCATTTTAATAAAATGGTTCTTCACAATGACTGGAATGGTATTTAATATTTCGTTTAATCACGAATATTCGTATAAAAGAGTATATTATTAAAGAAAATAGCGTCTCTAAGTATGTTCTCACATCTCTCTCTCTCTCTCTCTCTCTCTCTCTCTTCATATTTCCTGGACTTAGTTTATACAAGGAGATAAAAAGCAGCCACTTAGAATTCCTAAATATTTATTATTAACACTAGCGACTCAGCCTCGCTTCGCTTAGGTTCGTCCCTAGGTACGTCTTTACGCTTAGTGTGGAATAGATTTTTATTCAAAAAATATTTTTTCGTGAATTTTCCGATGTTTTAATAGTTATTCTGATATTCGGGGTGAAGACAAATCCAACAAAACAAAAATCATAAAAATCGGTCTAGCAGTTCTCGAGTTATTAGTGTTCTAACAAACTCGACTTTGTTATATATACTATACATATATAGATATTATACCTATTAAAATAACTTCAACGACAATATTATATTAAAAGTAGATAGCGTAATAAAAAGACATTTTCACATAAATGTGTACACTAATTTTACCTCCACTTACAACACAGGTAAGCTTCAAACTGGTATCTTCTACGTAGGGACCAGCGATGCCGACTACTTCTTTGTCTTCCTCGTCGAAAATTCTTGGCTTTTCAGGCAACTCTGTCAACAAAACAAAAACATTAAAAAAAATATATCACGTCTTTATGCAAACTTAAATTTTCATATTTGTTTTTAATAAATATTACGTGAGCAATATAATACTTTCACTCTTCGAAGTTATAATTTTCACAAAATTTGTATTTTGATTCAACTTAATCAGATTGACGATAACCTCTGCATTGTTAATAAAAAACTTAAGCTTATAAAACTACAGTGAAATATGTAGGTCGATGAAATTAAAACACGATATTATTATAATTTTTAGGTCATATGATAAGATTGTATAATGTATAGATATAATTTTTCACGAATGAACCCATAAAAAACAAAATAAAAAGGAATAGCCAATAGATTGGCTTCCTGAACAGTTATAAAGAAATAAGCACGCAAAAAAGCAATCTACGCTCGCGCACAATCCAGTGGATCCAATCAAATTACAATGATATTATCTGAGGAAATTTTCACATTGTATTGAATGATAAGCTTAATTTAAGTTAACAAGGTTTTCTGAAGCTATTTGTTAGCTAACTATATATTATATCGCCAAATTAAATTGATATATATTATTTTACATTAAGACACAGCACCATCCACTAGTAGTGCCATAGTAAGCTACGAGGCTTGTGTTATGGATATCAGATAGTTGATACACTACACATACATATATAACTTTAAATAAATACATATTATAAATATAAACACCCATGACTGGAGTACAAACATTCGTGTTTATCACACAAATGAATACCTCCAGGTGGATTTGAACCCGCGACCACTGGCACAGCAAGTAGGGTCACTACAAACTGAGCCAAACGTGCCGTCGTATATTAACTTTTTTATTATAACTACACACCAGCAACTATGTAGATACAAAATACTCAATACGTGTAATATAAACTTTTTTATCCACTTATTGCACAGTAAAGAGAAAATAAATTATTATAAGCCCAAAATGGAGGCATTTGGAGTCAAGTAATCGGTATAATATCTGGCAGCCGACACCAAAAAATGTAATGAAATTTACATAATAATGCAAGCCTATGCAACGAGACATTGAAAAATCAACAAACATCTGACCTTCTTTTGCTCTAGTTAGAGCAAGCTTTATATTGAAAGTGTGAAGTGAGGTCATGACACATTTAAATCCCAAGACCGACTGCTAACTTCTTAAAAGCTTAAGGTTTAAATAAGAATATTTTGAGTGGAAAGAAAAATTGCTAAACATGACTGCGAATTAGCGTTATGAAAAGACTTTAAAAGGCAAACAAAACTGAATATTTAAACGCGTTATTTGAAAATGGCTTTTAAGCTTACAATTTTACTGCTTATTTTTATAAATTACTAGCAACGAATCTTCGCTTCGTTTGAACGCGTTCCTATAATATGTCCTTTGTAATTATAATATACTAGCGACTCACCCTCGCTTCGCTCGGGGTCGTCCCTAGGTTGATTAAACTTACAAGCTTTCATCCCCATTTTCACCCGCTTAAGAGATGATTTCTGGGATAAAAACTATCCTATGTCCTTCCCAAGGTCTCAAATTATCTTCTTACCAAATTTGATTCAAATCAGTTCAGTAGTTTCGTAGCTTATTCGGTACAAACAAAAAAAATACAATACAAACAAACAAATAAAAAAAACTTTCCTCTTTGTACTATTAGTACAGACTAGCTACTTACCCTTGCTTTGCTTGGGTGCGTCCCTAAACTATTCATTTAGGAACGCATAAAAGACAAACTATTGTCTACAGTATTTATAATATTATATTTGGCAATTATTATTACTACTCTAAGTTCATGGTATACCTATATCTATCTGTACTAAACTTCACCTAAATCGGCCCAGCCGTTTTAGTCTAAAGAAATAAGCAAATATACACAAGCATTCTCATTTATTAATATATACCCAGTAATGTGAATAATAATAACATTCTAGCTTTATTCTAATACAGCTAATTAAGTTTTAAAGGCTTCGAAACCAAATGTCAAAACAGAATCCTTATATTAACCTGATTCTGATTTCTGAATCACGTTTTCATTTTTACCAATCAATCAAAGTGTTTGATGAAACGTTTCGTAACGTCGCTATACGAAAAGCCTTTCGTGAAAATTATTTCTAGTATTTTCTCTCAATAATACATTTACATTTAGACGACACGTTTGGCTTAGTTTGTAGTGACCCTACTTGCTGTGCCAGCGGTCACGGGTTCGAGTCCCGCTGGGGGCATTCATTTGTGTGATTGTCACGAATGCTTGTACTCCAGTCATGGATGTTTATATTCATAATATGTATGTATTTAAAGCTATATATGTGTAGTGTATCAACTATCTCGTATTAATAACATAAGCATCGTAGCTTACCATGGAACTAGATGGTGCTATGTGTTAATGTCCAAACATATTTATGTTTATTTATTTATTCACAGTAACTATTTGGCATAGCATTCGTGATTCAAAAATATGAATTTTCATCGCCAGTCTTATTGCTATTTTAATGAGGCATCGCGCTCAAACTGGAAAATAAAAAGGAAAATTGAAAAATTATACTGTTTTGCTCTTATAAAATTACTTACTATTAAAACCTTTGAAGACCAGTCATATTAGGTACACTAGAATAAACACTAGATATGTTGATAATGATATTAAATGTAGTTTTTATTTCTCTATTCATAGCAACGACGCTTTATCATAGCAATGACACTAAAATAAATAAATTTTTAATTTTTAAATCTATTTATCTATTCTGAAATATTATAAAGAGGAAAAATTCGTTTTATTGTTTGTTTGTTAAAAATCGGTCGACTTGTTCGAGACGAGGTTGAATTCGGTTGGACATATGGGAATAAAAGTTGTATATTTGTTTATTTTAAATAAAACTATCTTTTCGGATTATTTCGCGGATTTATTTTGTTTTTTGGTTCCCGACGTTTCGAATGCTTTACAGCATTCATGGTCACGGGAGAGAATGAGGTGTTAGATGTCTCGAAGGTATAGTTGTTACAGACAGCCTATCTACAAATAAAAAAATGAAAATTGCACCAATTACCTTAAAATGTTTTTTAACTTTAAACATTTTTATAATTTTAATTAGTTTTATAATTGAATATGGAATATTATTTATTTAATTTTTGCTGTTATTATTATAATTATTACAATTTTAAAAACATTAATTAGTAATCTATATTTAGTGTTGCCATTATTATATTTATAACCATAAAGAAAAATATAAAATATAGTATTAATTATTAAGCCATATAAATTGTTCTATGTGTAATTTAAAAAAAAAGTTAAAATTAATTAAGGATGATAATTTTAATTTAGTTTGCTATTATAATATTATAATATGCTAAGATTCCAAAGTTAAAAAAGGTTGGGAACCTTCGAATCAATAGGCAGTCAGTATCATTCGTGCGAATAATTTACTATCCTTAACGTATAACACCTACCTATACTATATTTTAATGAAATGTAACAATAGGGTACAAAAATGCTTAACTAACTCTATCACCAGTATTGACTAAATCTCGATATTTATATCCATTCCTAGAAGCTCTTCTTAGAGGATATTCTTGAAAGTTTATCTAAGAAAGTATTCCCAGTCAATGCGAAAGGGCGCTTCGATGGCTTATCTTGGTTTAATGTTTTAAGTGACTTCATCAAAGTGAGTGCTTTAGTTAAATATGTTACAGTTGCAAGAAATGGGGTATTCGAGTCTTACTACAATTGTGCGAACAGAATTGTTACAATGTATGATGAGACTTAATAAACTATTTTCTTTGAAACATATAAACTTTTCATTGTTTTATATCTATACTAATGCGATATTGTGATGGTCGGTATGGTGTTTTGTTATTTTTCCATTTCAATGAAACGAGGTGATTTGTGCGTATAGAATAATGAATCAGGGAGTGGTATCGATTAGCTTAAGCATTTAAAATAAAATTATCTTTATGGGTTCTTTCATAGATTTATTTAGATATTTGATACTCGACTTTTCGAATGCTTTACAGCTATCATTGTTGCGTGAGCGACATGTGTAATGATAGCTGTAAAACATTCGAAATGTCGGGAAGCAAAAATTAAAAGAAATTCGCGAAAAAATTCGCAAAGATAGTTTTATTTATAAGGTCAAATTTTCGCGTAAATCTAAAAAAGTATTATTAGTTTAGGCGATTATAAAAAGTTATTTAGGCATAACTTAAACAAGAGTAATTATTTTATATAGTATACAAATTATTTTATAAGAGTCAGTTATTTTACAAGATCATCAATATTAAAGACCACGGACAAAGTACGAAAATTATTACTTTCCTTGTCCTTAGCGAAGCTTCAAATATCATTTCAAGATAAATAAACTTAATATTTACGAATTTAAGTGAAAACTATAAGTGGCAATTTTAAAATACCAACTATACTTTCATATATCTTAGTGATTGTGTACTCAACTTTGCCTTTTCGTTCACTTTTTCATGGCTAGCAAAACAATGGTCTTAAAGAAATTAAAATCTCAACTTCCGTTATAGAATATAGCAAAGTCAAAACGTACAGTGCCACAACGGTTTCAAAACGAGTTTCATAATAAATTGGAAGCACACAAGGTTCGGGCCCATAATTGAGTTACCCTACATTAAACTTTTTTCCTGCCTTATATTGCTAAAATAAAAGCCTGCAAGATTCGTCCCGGACACAAATTACTTTAGACCCGAAGCAATCTCATCATCGTTATTGTGATTTTTGAGATAGCATTTTTCATTCGGAATATGAATTTTGTTTTAAACGTTTAGAACTCTACTCGGTTCAAGTGTAGCTATACTCGTAAACGATTACTGTTACTACACTTTGATGTTGTTTGCTATTCAAATGAGAGTCATATGAATTAAAGCTAGATAGTACTACGTATTTGTACTAAAAATATATATTATTTTGCATATTTCGTGTATATCCGTCTGAATTTTAATGTGGCTACATTTCATATTTATTTATATGGACACATAGATGGAA